CAGTCCTTTAAAAAAAATTACATCACTCAACAGATCAAGCACAGAAGTGATTTTTCAGTTTTTCCTCTGATGTAATAGTACATGATGGATGTTGAACAAGCAAGGCTTATTTCAAATGTACACTATTTCAAAACTGTAGTGGGATATAATCAAGGTAACCTCAAAATCTTCAATAAATTTCAAGATAGCTAAATGTTTTCCCAATCTAGTCTCAAAATTTGCAATAAACTTCAAATTACCTGTGCTCGCTTCGGCAGCACATACACTAAACTTCAAAATACCCACATTTTTTCCAATTTCTTTTTTGACTCTTTCTACAGGCCCAACATTTAAAGGACTCCTGCTAAGTGATCTAAAACATTGATTGGCCTTATATTGTTCACATTAGACACAATAATAAAAACCAGCAGAAAAAAGAAACTCCTATTCAATCATTGAATCACTGGCAAATTAACTGTTAACAATGTAAATAAATTGGATCACACTGAGACTAAAAGCAAGCTAAAGAAAAATGTAAGTTTAAGAATAGCCATTAATTATTTCTTTATAACCTGTAGAGGGCACTCAAGTCCCTTGAAGAAAAAGGTAAAAAGTTTTGACTTAAAATATTTTTTCATCATCATCATTATTGTTTACTAAAGAACCACCCCTCCCCCAAATTATCACTTAAAAAAGGTCACTTAGGCTGGGGAATGTAGCTTAGTGCTAGAGCTCTTGCATAACGTGACGCCTCGTGTTCAATCCCCAGTACTGTGAGGAGGAAAAAAAAGACGTATAGAGGAAACATAGTTTGACTTCAAATGTTCAATGCATTCGAGATGTCTATTTTAATTTCCTACTGGAAAAACCATCAGCAGGGGGTTCCCACTGCCCGGCATTTAGCAAACTCAACTACACAGAGCAGCCAGGTCCTGAGAGAAATCAAACTGGACCTCAGAGTAACAGGTTTCTAAGGGAAGAAACAAGTTATGATACAGTGATGCCACTGTACTGCTTCAGGGTGTATATGGAAAATAGGGTTCTATTTGGTGATGAAACTCAGAAGCTAATTGAAAAGCCTGGCTCTTTAAAGAGTTTTAACCATTTTGTAAGACTAGTCTCTTGAGACCTTTGAACTTTTCACTTTAATGAGTCTCCTCGTTATTAACATTAGTATTTGGATGGAAGATATTTGACTGTGAATATTTTACCTGTCTTGACATTGAAATGTTTCACAGGAAACCCACTGAATGACACACTAGCACTGTACAGATTACATCCAAACACACTCTTACATGTATACTATGCATAAATATACTCTATGACGACATAGTTGAAGATATACTGTGACATTTTATTAACTATTTACTGCATGAATAATTATTAAAACATCAGTTTCTTAGCAACATAGTGATCATTAGTGATCATGACCTCTTATTCTGAATATATTTTTTGATCCTCAATTTTGCTATGGCTAAGTAATTTATTATTAAAAGACACTTAGACATGGATTATTAAATTGAAACTAGAGGAAGCCGATTTGGCACAAATTTATACGTGCTTCTTGGAGTTATTGTTTCAATTTAGAAATCAGATCACAAAAGGATTTGAGCCAAAAAAAGTAAAAGAAATGATCTAAATACTTGTATTGCAAATCGCTACTGGAATAATGGGTGACTACAAAACATTTTACCAAAATGTGTTGTCTATAAATTTATTACTAATAAAAATTTATTTATTTATTTTTGAGATGGTTTCTCATTATCTTGCCCAGACTGTTTAGAACTCCAGGGCTCAAGTGATTTTCCCATCTCAGTTTACCTAGTGCTTGGGATTAGAAGGGTTCCAGGTCTGGGTTAAATTTAATCTTTAAAAACAAACTTTGCTATATATAACTATGGGTATCTATCTATATATTTTAAAGGTCTTAAATTATATTTGAGGAATAAATTCCCAAACTTGAATACCTTGCAAAATAAATACACTGATATTGATAATAGATTTAAAAAGTGAATTCAGAAACTGAGCATGAAACACATCCTAATTTTTTTTCTCATCGTTCCACTGAATATTTCAAAGTTAAATTTATGGCAGAAGAAGTATCCAGGTTAAAAAGGAGCAGAAAACACTTAAAATAATTTCTTTGAAGTATTTTGGCAATGATACCTTTAGTTTGTGGACAAAAAATCTTCATTCTGAAAAATGAATGCAATTATTATTTTAATGGAATATAACAAGCTCTGTGTCCTCAAGAAAGAATAAGGAAAGCTTTGAAATTGGAAGTCTTAACGATGAATAATTGTGTATTACAACATGTTTTCCCTAAGTGGATTTCTTTACCCCATAGCATGATACTTTCTAAAGATGGTGATGGGAGGTAAGAAGAAACTATGCAGTTTAATAAAACAGAAGCGTTTTCTCAACCTAAATTGTAGCCATGCTTTTTTTGGGTTATCGAAGGGCCAATAAGTATAGACTCTAGCACATGAAATAAAATGAGAGGCTATACTTGGAATGTAGTCTTTGTTTCTTCTTTTTTTCAAAGCCTGTGTTTTCTTATATCATTGTTAGGCAAAGCAAAAAGAAATGTTTGTTCTATTACGTAAGAAATAAACTTCATTTGGTATTCAATTGACTTTCTAACTTAGTAGACAGGACTTTACATTGTCAAATACTGAAAATAAATTGCATTCTTGGCCCTTGCTTTAAAAGGTTATGGAGAATAAATGCACTCCCTGGTAGTGTTCTAGTGATCTCCCTAATCTCAGTTGCACTTTGTCAGAATGAGGTAACTGGTAGTTAAGTGAAATACCCTAGATCAAAGGGGGATTAATCACCAACTGAATCCTTGCTGAATAAGCCTGTCATTCAAGAAAATTATTTCCACTGAACTTAGCAGAGGATTGAAGGTCTTTGCATAACAGGGACCAACATACTTCAGCCAGGTTAGAAGGTTCAAAACTCGTCCCATGTTTAGCTTTTTGCCTCCTTTTCCTTTCAGCAGTCTGGCACAATGGTTTCTAATCTGATAATACAGCTAACTATCTAAACGATGTCAGAACAGGAAAGTTGCAAAGTCTGGATGAGGGATGGATCAATGTCACTTTCAGTAACTCCTAAATCTGCTTTGTTGGAATTTAAGATGTAACCCTAAACAAGTCCCTAAACCTGAGGACTGTTCATTAACATCCCTTTTTTGACCTTTGTTTTATGAGCAACTACTCTGCCACAGCAGCAATCTCTGCAGAGGTCTCGATGATAATCCCACCTAGGGACTTCCTAGGGGTAGCAGAGTAAGAATCAACGAATGTTTATGTTTAAATACTGTAACAAGAACTATAAGGAAAATATTAGCAAGTGTTATATGTACAAAATGTCTTCTGGAAAAGATCTTAAGTCAAACACTGAATAAAACCATAATGATTTTAACACAGAAATACTGAGTTGGCATAAAAAATTATGAGATAGACTGTTTACTAGAAAAAATTTTAAACAATTCTCCTAAGAATTCCTGACAAGGCTCTTTACACTTCAAACCTGACACTGAGTTAATTACTTAAGAAGTGTAAAATATCACTGTAAGGGTAGTACCTACTATATTACTGGCTTTAAAAAGTTATGAACCATCTTTTCTGGAGCTCATTCTCAGAAATTTAACATTTTCTTTCTGCCCTTTGGATTTAGGGAAGAATAATTACCCTTATGACAGACATCAGATTTCATAATCATACTTTGGCACCAAAGGGAATTTAGCAATTTTGCATCTAGAGCAGGTCTGGCACCATCAAAGTCTTTCACTGGAAGTAGTAACTCATATTCACTGCAAATGTAAAGCATCTTTCAAGTTTAAAAATGCAAAGAATAGTTATCAAAGAAAATGAATAAAATCCATAGTGAGATAATTTTTTAGAAAATGATTGAAGTTTTAACCCAAGAAAGGACTCTTAGAGTGTCTTATAGCTTAGAATAAGAACATGTCAATCACGATTAAGCTTCTGGAATCGGAATCCCTTTGAAATGCAGCTGTTTCTTCTTTAATTGTGGCAGCGGACTCTGAAGAAAGGAAAGGTCCAGCCTTAAAGATGAGTAAGGAATACAAAATAGCTCAGGATTAGTCGTGGAGTTCAAAGGTCGCTAATTACACTAAGGAGTTCCCAGACACAGGGAAAACATTAAACAGGTCACCTACCAAACGGGAAACAGACTTTGTCTTCAGAAATTATCCTGAAGTGACAGGTTTCTAGACAAAATCAAAAGCATCACAGTGTGCCCAGCTGATCTCACTGGGGTGAAAACAGAAGTCGGTTTAGTTCTGTAGCGTGATGTCAGAATGGAAGGGCAACAGATGGCCCAGGTTCCCCAACACCCCTGCTCTGTCCAGTCATCCCTAGACTTTCCTCCAGCTTCTAGAAATGCCAAATCAAAGTCTGCTGGTTTTTCTAATTTGCTTATGAAGAAAGTTTTGCCTCAGGGATTATACTGAACCTCTGCCTACTCTCCAGATAAATTCCTCTCACCTGTCTTAGTGCGTTTGTGCACTCAGGATCACCAAACGGCTCTGTTAATGTTAACAGAAGGAAATGTTAAGCTTCCTTTGAGTTGAAGAGAGATAAATAACTTATGGAGAATGGCATTTTCTTTCTTTCTTTTTTTTCCTCAAAAGTAAAGTTTTTACTACAAGTTAAAGTCCTGGTCATGCAGTTATTCTTTATTACTTGGGATAATTCTGAACATAGAACCTTATGCTTTGATAATGCCTTGCAGAAAATGAGGGTTTATAATGAGTAGGATTGACCTTAATTAAAAAATCATATTTCAAATCCCAAGTTTATATGCACTGTCCCTTCAAACTATGATGGCTCTTTCTTGAGGAGTTAGCAGCTTTTTCTAAGCTTTTCCTTAGGAGACTCATTAAAAAACAGAGCCCAAAATTTAACTGAATGGAGTACTAATCTGTACTGCTTACTTTCTATAATGCTTCTAATTCTGTTCTGTATAAAGAACTTTGACATGAATTATGCTCTGAGGATCCTGAAAATTCTTTATTTTTGGTCGCTTAAGGTCCAGCTTGACAATGAAAGTTGTCATGACAACTTGCTCTGAAAACAATGTGACATTAACTACAGAAACAAGCAGGGAATAAAAGCTATGCCTAGGTGGTTTCTGAAGGAATCAAAACAATGTTAATAAGAGCAACAAAAATAAAATATGCCAAATAAGACTTAAAATAAGAGTAAACTTCTATATTCATATAAAGACTTTTTGAGTTTTTAATATGAATTCATTCATTAATGGGTTTAATGTAGTAAAGCATGGAAAAGGCAATATTCTGCTTAAGTGGATCTTTAAAAACTTGGCTTCAGACATGAAATGAGAGTACAAAACCCTATCTAACCTTCGGAAAGTATACCATCCACTGCAACATGCCCGAGGACATCCCAAGCCAAATGTTATTTTGGGAGATTGACAAGCTTTCTTAACAAGTGGATCTAGAACAAACATACATACTACCCTAAATAGAATTATGCGGATTCATTCTTAGTAAGTAGGCTAGAACTGTTAAAGAACAAGTTACTATTAATTTTCCTTTGTCTCCATTAGCTGTTTGTTTCTCAAGAAATTTTATCGTTTCTTACTTGGTTTCTGGTATTCTGTAATAACACACTGTTCTGGCATTTAGTACTCACGTTTGGAAGAGCAGTTACCTTGCATATCAGCTACAATCTGGCTGCCTGAAGTTCAGCACTGAAAATAAGCCTGAGTTCTTACTCAGAATGCCTCAGGGTAGAAAGAGGGCTGTGAATGATTAGCAATGCCTGCCACAGGCGCAGGAAGGACACTGTGACATGCTGACCAAGGTCTAGTCTAAATAGGCGAGAATGAATCATTACTTTTCTATGTTTGAATCATACTGACAAAGTCAAAAATAACAAAAACCGGAGACATCAGCCTTTAAAATATTCTTTCAAACTACTGTATACAAGACTAAAAACAGTAAATGAGTACTTTTATAATTAAATCACTCATTCTTTTTACTCACAGGTTATATGAAATTAGAAATAAAAGATTGTGATTCCATGTAAGCTATGCTACCCTAATATAAATTCTATGTATTTAGGTATGTTTACGGTACTGGGAATTGGACCCAGGGCCTTCACATGGAGCGGCTTCTCCAGCCCTTTATTCAGTCGGAGACTGGGTCTTGCTGAGTCACTAAGTTACTCAGGATGGGCTTGAACTTGCAATGTTCCTGGCTCAGCCTCTCACAGTGCTGGGATTACATGCATTCACCATCACCCCAGGCTAATAAATTCTATTTAAACATAAGAAAATTACAAAAATAATGATCCATATGTTACTGGAGCCGGGGCTTTAGAATTCCAGATGTAAAAATCAGATGAAATTAGTTTCCGATCTAAAAAAGGAAAAAAAAAAATTTAATGATAAACCAGTTTTATCTTACAAAAAATTCAACAAGAGAGCAAAGTCATAATTTTTTGAAATTTACTTATTTTAATTTTATGGGGCCTTTAACTTTTACTACTTAAAAAATATGAGCTCATTAATTATCTAAATAATCTATCGAAATATCTTCTACTTATGGCAAATCTTATCAATTTTTTCCTCATTTCTCCCTCAGTTCTATTTCTTACAGGCTAATACTTTAATTGCAAAAACATTTAAAAGTTCTTTCAATGGTTTCCTTGTGTAACCCTTTCCCTTTCAGAGGTTACTTGAATCTGGTCTTGCTGTTACTCATTCAAAGTGTCAAAGATACAAATCAATATCCAAGTTCCTTGCAACACTCTACAGAGGTTGCTTTGGTTGTTGTTTATAGTTCGGATCAAATTTAAGCCCTCTGTCTTCACAATTTGTAACTTAGGAAACATGGCAACCTCCTCTTTGAACTAAACTTCTCTGGTATGCAGAATTGAGACAATAATGCTCATCTGTGCCTGGCACATAATAAGTGAAAAATGCTAATCATTATTATTGAGATTAACACTATTACCACTTCAGAACTGAAATGTATATTGTGAATAAAGATCTTATTTTCTGTTGAGATGATGGCAAAATAAAGGTTTCACATAGGTACACAAACTGGATCATGTTCTAAAACAAACACAGAGGAAGAAAATGAAAGACTGGTCATAACGATCTGTTCAAAGTGTCTTCATTTAATAGATTTTGAACTAAGAAGCAGGCATGGCTGGGCAGAGTGGGACACGCCTGCAGCCGTCGGAGGCCGAGGCAGGAAGACCCCAAGTCTAAGGCCAGTCTGGGCAACTTAGTGAGACTCTGCCTCAAGGTAAAATTTTCAAAGGCTGGGGATGGAGCTCAGCTGGTATAGCATCTGCTTAGCATGTGTGAGGCCTTGGATTAAAAAACAAAATCAAGTATATTACTGGTGTATTACCAAACAGATGTATTACTAAAACTTCCCATTCTGTATTATGCTTTCTGAAAATTACAAGATGTTTAGTTAATACTTAACAAAATGCTTAAAAATATTTTAGTTACTACTTAAAGAGACAATATATTTCCCATAGATAATGTTAAATATTGGTCTGTTTGCATTTTGACAAAACAATTGCCCATTCAATATTATGCTTTCATTATAAAAAATAAAGAAAGGAACTGTAATACTTTTATGAATTCACTTAAAGAAACAAAAAAAAATGGATATAAGAGCAAACAGAGAAAATCTAGGGAGGTAAAGAATACTGCCTTATTCTGGTAACATTACATGGAATTTATTACTGCCACTCCCAAGAAATTGGAGTAAATACAGATATTTCTCATTTAATGACAGTGTTACGGTACTGCAACTAGGTTGTTAAATGAGGAACTATGAGTACATACATTACAATATCTAGACCAAAGAAATGGTCAAAGGAAATTCCAACTTGATGACTTTGTTTTCATTTGTATAGCTCTTACATGTAGTGCTGTAATGTATAACAGAACATAAAACTACAGTACTGTATGGTATAATCAGCAAAAATCATAGTACTGTATTGTACTGTACAGTACTGTAAGAGAAGCCACCATGAGGCCACATTGCTGCTCACATTCCTGCATAGTAAGCCCAAATGCAGGTCATAAGTCTGAGTGGTGGGTGGTAAGTCCAAATAGTCATTAAACAGGTAGGTCATTTCATAAGGCATATCTCTAACACTGTTATTTACACTTTATAAATGAGGAAACTAAAGCTTTAAGGAGTTTACTAAGTTGTCCAAAACTATACACCAATAAAATGTTGGAGCTAGACTCAATCACTGTCTGCTCAATATCAAAGCCTGAAGCACTTCTGAATAAAAGGGTTAATTATAACCAGAGCAAAGCACATCAAACTTTATACTTTAAAGAACACCTCTTACCAATCATGCTCATTCACACCTTTTTTTAATCAGAAGAAGGCAGAGGGCAGAGTAGAGTTCACAAAGTGTTAGGTGAGAATGGATCAAGCCAGCATATTTATAAATTGGGACTACTTTCCAATCTCTAAATTCTAGAATTCTCTAAATGTTATTACCTTAGGTAATAACATACTACCATTTTAATCCATCAAGTTAGTTTGAATCTAAACAACTTACGTGTGTTTATTTTTGGTTTTCCTGATGCAAAAACTTGAACTGAATGCTGATCTGCATAACACCCAGTGAGTGTGTAATCTAAGATCTTGAAATGAAGCTAGGGAAAGCAGAGATGCAGCAGTTAAGGTGATTACTTGGTATAAACGGTCACACTGTTTTGCCCTTGGCACAACTCACAGTTCACAGAGGCGATCACAACCCTAAAACTGCAACTGCGTGTCCACGCGTGCACATCTATACAAACATGGACATGCCTGCTATGCATTCTCTTCTATCCACAGGCTATGTGATTGTGATGCAGTTCACATCACAATTCTTTTATAGGCAGGAATGTTCACCCTTTTTAGCGAAATATAAGAATGCATTTATAAAACAGAAACATTGGTTTATATCATGTTTGGGGGCGAATCACCTGCTTTATTTTTCAGAAAACTAAAATTTTATTTTTACAGAATTTAACTTAGAAATTACCTATTTCTTCATGTAGAAAACTTTTCTAAAATGTAATTCATGGTTCCCAGATTTCACTGATAATGTGGGGTTATCACTATTAATGCCAGGTACTGTATGGTGCTGTAGTATACAGTGAGGCATTAACATCTCTGCAGCATGGCGCTAGGATGCCTGTGAATCACAGTGACATTCACATGAATTATGAAGAAGCTGATGTTTTACAGAGTTTCACTTGCCTTTTGCTATGGTTCTTTTCATCTTTGCTCCTATATACTGCCAATGTTGAAATATCTTGGCACCTTTTCTATTTTTTTTTGGCAGTGCTGGGAATTGGAACTCAGGGCCTTGCACATGCTACCACTGAGCTACATCCCTATCCCTGTACTTTTTGTTCTTCTTTTTCTTGCAAATATCCCCTATTTCATATCTTTCTCCTTTAATTGCCAAATTAAATGATCTTATATATAGGACGTAGTTTTTAGATCTCAACAATTTTTTCCTGTTGTACCTTGACTTGTATAATTCTGAATGCTGGAAGATATATATGGCAAGGTTGACCTCCTCATAACTCTTTCAATGTAGAACTATTCAGTCCATTCAATGAACACAAATATGTATTGTGTACCTTTTATGAGATCTTTACTGGTTAAGCTATAGAAATGAACAGATAAATCATAACATCTACCCTTGAAGGACATATGGTATAGTAACGTCCCACATTTTGAAAAATTAGGAATTTTTATAGTAATCCTTGAAACAAAGCTAACAGACACAGTTGAAACCAACACAGGAAAAAATGAATTTATGAAGGGCTGGGGATTTAGCTCAGTGGTGCCACTGCCTGTCTCACAAGCACAAGATCCTGAGTTTGATCCTCGGTACCACAAAAAAAAAAAAAAAAAAAAAAAAGAATTATGGACAGCGTACATTTGACTTTACTACCACTTCCCCAACTGCTTTAATTGACAAATTTTAATCTCTTCTCTGATAGCATCCTACTGCCTCGTGGATCACTCCTTCAATTTCCCTCATTGATTCTTCCAAATTTTTCTATTTTTCTGACTTATTCCTGATATTATTAGTTTCCACTGTGTCACCTATTTCTTCTCTGTAGATAACTCCTAAATCCTTATATACAGGTGACTTCTCTTGAGAACTCAGCTTTAGGGTTTTAGCTACTCACTGGACACTTAACGCTAAGATGTGATACTATTGCCAGCAATATGTATATGGAGCTCACGCCTGGCCAACTTTTTTCACATCATTACTTTTGTCAAAGTGTGTTCATACATTCAGCCAATACTTATGTGCTGAGTACTAGGCAAAATGGTGGGGATAAAATAATGAATGAATGGAACTCACATAACTTCTGCCCTCTTTGAAGTTTGAATTTGGTTTAAGTTACATATTTTTGAACACCATCTTTGACTTGAAACTGTTTCTTGTTTCTGTATTAGAGGCAAAGTTTCACCTTCATCATGGTTCTTAGAGTACTCCTTTTCTTTTTCCCCCTTCCTTTCTCTTTCTGCTGATACTTTACTAGTCCAGCATCAATGTATCCTCTTTCTTCTGGAGCTATAAAATGTTTTTGTTGTTTCTAGTTTTTTTTAATTACCTTCCTTGAATGCACTGCAGATTGATGTTCACAAAATATCACTTTTTGAAAAGACCATTCTCCTAATCAAAAAAGTATATCTACTGAAGGAATAAAGGAGTTAAGCCCTCTATATTCTAGACCTAAATTACTTATCCAGTTTTATACACTAGTACTGTGTCCAGCATTGGTTCTTAAGTGTGTCCTATTTATCTTTCTTCGTTTCTGTAAGTCATTGTTTTACATTGTTCATCATCTCTGGCCATTAGAGAAATGAAAATTAAAAATGAATATTAAAACCAAGTCAGAGGGGTAGGGGAAAGGAAAGAAGGGAATGGAATCAATATGAAAAAAATGGAAACAAAGTCTTTGTAAACAGGGAGGGATAGAGGGGTTGAAGGGAAGACAGGGGAATGGGGAAAAAATAAGAACCAAGAGAGATTATGTAAAGGTGCAAATTTCCAAGGATGAATTAACTGTATTGTATACCTAAAATGTACAAATAAAATTAATAATAAAAAAAGAACTATACTGAAAAAAACAAAACAAAACAAAAAAACCACATTAAGATTCCATCTTATTCTGGAAAGAAAGGCTATCATCAAGGAATCACACAATGGCAAATGCTGGAGAGGCTATGGGGAAAATGGAATCCTTGTATATTGTTGGAGGGAATATAAACTAGTACAACTGCTATGGAGATCAGTGAGGAGATTCCTCAGAAAACTAAAATTAGAGCTGGGCCTGGTGGCACATGCCTGTAATCCCAGCACTTGGGAGGCTGAGGCACAGGGATCACTGAGAGTTCAAGGCCAGCCTGAACTACATAGTGAGACCCTGTCTCAAACAAACAAACAAAAAACAAGCCCACCCACTAAAACTAGACATTCCTATTGATGAGCTATTGCCCTTCTAGGTAACTTTCCAACAGAGTTCAAGTCATCATATGACAGTGATATATGTACACCCATGTTTACAGCAGCACAATTCATAACAGCTAAATCTTGAAAGGGGCCCATATGCTCATCAACAGATGAATGGATAAAGAAAATGTGGTAGTATTTATATACAATGGAGTACTACTCTGCCATTAAGAAAGATAAACTTGAGTCATTTGTAGGAAAACGGATGCACTTTCAGACCATAATTTTAAAGTGAAATAAACTACATAGCTTCAATATTGCATGGTTTCTCTTACATGATAAACTCAAAATATAAATAAAGCACAAAATAAAAGATAGGTAATACGAAGCAGGGAGATAAATCCTTTCTCATATAGGAAAGGGATTCAGAGATGAAGGAATAGGGAAGTGGTATGGGGAAGAGGGTGAAAAAGATGTGTCCTGTATACGTACTAACTCCCCAAGAGAAATGTAATCATTATACATTGGAAATATACATTAATAAAATAAATACTGAAAGAAAAAATTTGGGTGTTAACACATATATTTAATGATTTCCTTTAAAATTTAAGTATTAAGTAAAATAGAAAATGGAAATTAAATGGATACTAAACAAAAATTAAACAAAAATCCAATGAAGGATTTAGCCAGGTAAAATGAGAATTAAAAAAAAAATGTTGGAAAACATTAAAATCAACTAGATATATGCAACCTAGAAACAACATAAAAAGGGGTTTTAATGTAGTAGGTCAAATAAGTATGTTTACCTTTACATATGCTGTGCCGCCAATACAAATCTGGTCAAATGGCTGCTTGTCATGGCTCTTGGCTCCAAAAGTTACAGTTCCAGAAAGACTGATTTCCATTGATTTTGGAAACTTTTGGCCTAGAAACATAAATACACCAATCAACTATTCTAAAGAGAGTGGACTCTACACCAAATAAAAGAAAAAAATAAACAAAACCTTGCTCACCAATAATCCAGACCAATAATCCTTTCTCTCGAAAGACCTCAAGCTGGCCAAAACTAACTTTGTATTCCAAATGTGTTATTGGACCTCTTTTAAAAAGAAAAGAATAAAATAGAAAAAAAATGATCACAGATGTAACAGTTTTAAAAGATTTAAGTCAAATCTTGCTAATGTTACTTAATAAAAGGACAACATAAAAACAGATCCGCATTGGGGCTTGGGATTTAGCTCAGTGTGCTATGCCTGCCTTGCAAGCACAAGGTCTTGAGTTTGATCCCTGGTACCAAAAAACCCAAACCCCCCCCAAAAACCAGATCCATACTGTTTGCAGAATGGAACATAACAAGAAGATGTACCTCCCAAAATACCAAAAACCACATAAACATTTACAGTCATGATATACATTTTGTTTTTATTCCTAACGCCAATTATATCACATAGAATATATGAATATATTCACATTGGTTGACACAACAGTAAATCTATGATTTTACTATATATTCAAGTACACTTTGGAAAGAGCTACACTGCACAAAAAAAAAAGAGTAGAATTGATGAGGAAGCAATCTTATGATAATTGGTTAATTTATCAGGCAGCTGATACTTAGGACTGACTTATATGTAGAATCCAGAGAAACTGCTAATAATAAAGCTGAAACAAAATAATCTCCAACAAAGTTACGCTGGCTTAAGGTTATAATTTACTAGCAAGTTTAACCAGAAAAATAACAGCATATTAAAGGTAAATAGATTATTTTGTTTCAGTATCACCATCTATTTGAGTAACACAAAATTATTTAGATCTCAAACATAAGGCAGAAAAGACAATTTATTATAGTGCAGGGGGAATATACTAGGGAAGGCAGAATCATGGCACCATATCATTCATTCCTACCTATTATAAAAAGGTATGTGAGCTTCACAGAATTCAAAATTATTTTTTACACTTTCATGAAGTTTTAAATTAACTGCTATTTTTAGTTGTACTTCTTCTTCTTTCATTTGATAAAAACCCAAAATTGGTGGGACAGGGACCTGAAAATAAACACATTTTTATATAATTCTCAGGTTACAGCATATAAAATACCAATGGGGAATGACGGACTTCCAGTCATGTACACTAGATGACATCACGATGTATATATTTACACATACACATACTATAATCATTATATTCAGATCCGCCTTTATTTACTAGTGAGCTCCTCCACGTTGTTTTGATAATAGCAATAACGGATCCAAACACATTTTAAGGGCAGACATTCTTCTCTCTCCTGTTTCCAGAGATGACAAAGGTGCCTTATAAAAGTATACAATATATTCCCGTCTGTGCTCTTGCTCCTCTATGATATCCTCTCCCTCTTAGGTTCTCCGACTTGCAGTGTGGGACATGTACTACACATATTGATCACTGCTGTGATACTCAGAATTCCTGTTGCTCTTTTTGTAACCAGTGACTGTACTCCCCCATTCCTTTCCTAACTCCCTAGCTCAATTACAGCTAATGTGATTGGTCATCAGTAACTGATTGAAGGGGAAATAATCTGTAGGTTGGGGTGAGCCAATCATTCCGAATGGTACATCTGAAGTAAGACAGAGACTACTTACACACAGTGCAAGTTCTAGAGCTGTAAGTCACCTGCAAGCAGGGAAAGGCAGTTGAAGACACTGAGAAGCAGCGATCCGAGAGTATGAACCTTGAATACAGAGTAATTTTAATTTTCTGGCTCTAGTACCAATGTAGTCTGGGTTCTACATCTTTTCATGAATGAAAATGAGATTTCCTGTTGCCTTCTCAAAATAAACTTCCTCTGCTTAAGTAGGATTTCCTAAGCTACTGACTGAAAACTAGGACAAGAGATAAATGGTATGGCACAGTGGAAAACATTTTGGGCTTCGGCAGTTTGCAAAATCTGGGTTCAAATCTAGGCTCTGCCATTTATTAGTCAAATGACCTTGTATAAATCATTTAAGTTCTCTGATACCTTCTGCATCTGTAAAATGGGAGTAATACTTACCTTAAGGTTTGTTAAAAGTAGAAGAGAAAATACACTCCAAGTGCCCAGGAAAACATCTGATGCACTTACTCAATAAGCAATAAATAGCTACTATTAATTTATATATATATATATATATTTTTTTTTAGCAAGGTTTTACATTTATTGAAGGTAGGAAAAGAAACATGCTCTGCAGAGTCAGTGCAGGCCAATTAAAAGTAGAAAACAAGTGCACTCTGCTGGGTGAGGGCAGACCCTGAGAAAGAGAACAGTGGCAGACAGCTGAATGTCTGCAGGTGTTTGCATCTCCCACGCCGCAGGCTGACGTCAGGTGAAGGCCATCCTCTCAAACACCTGCTTGAGTTCTCTGGAGAACTGAAGCTGAGCACTCTGATTAGTCTCAGGTGCAGGACTTTGGGAACTTTTTCTCTGCACTTCCTGGATCTCCGTTATTGACAGGTTGCTCCCACTTGCTCAGCTGGTTTGCCCCTCGACCCCCAATCTCCTGCCTCACAGCTGGAGTATGATGCTACTGGAATACTGCCTGGAAGAGAGGTAGGGTAGGTGCAGAGTGGGAGGAGGGAGAGAACCTAGGAAGTTGGGAATCATATGGTAAAAGGCTTTGAATGGCCTGCAGAGGAAGCACAGGTTTGTCCTGGAGACAATTTATTTTTTTAAATTTATTTTTATTTAATAATTTATATTTGTAACCAAGATTTCCTGGAATTAGAGTTACTTCATGTTTATGGTTAAAACCATGACTAAATTATACTAGGATCTATCCTGTGACCATAGACTCCTTCTTAGAGAATATTAAAAAACCACACTGACTTTGAAAACTATTAATGCAGTTATACGTACCAGAGAAAAGAGGTAGCCCATGCAGATAATTGAATCTTCACTCATCAATTATTGTCTAGTAAGTAACTCATGAGAAGTTCTCATTTGGCCCAAGAATAGAAATGATGTCCTTATGAACAGTATTTATAAATGTCTCACAGTATTTGTAATGGCACTTATATATACAAAGGTCACCAAGCCTCAACTTTTCCAAGACTGTTTACCTGGGATGTGTAGTAACATAAGTTGAATGACTCTAAAGGTGGAGTAAATGGAAATTTGTAAGGCCCACTAAATGCAGAATCATCCATTGCATCAATGCTACTCGAGGTCAGAATGGCAGAATCAAGAGAAGTCACACAAGGATGAACAAGAATATCTTGAAGTGGTGATCCATTGGTGGGGAGACTCAAGCTAATGGTAACATTTGGCATGATTCCTTCCAAATCACACTGTAATAAAAGCAGAAATGGGTATTACCAAGATCTTAGAATATACATTTTCTGTTTAAGGCTTTTCTCAATGTCTTAGTCATTCTCCCCAGTTTAACTCATTTCTCTCTAGATTCTCTTTCCTTTCTAACAGTTTTATGCTCTTAAACACCGAAGCCAGCGACACCAGAGGTTTCACTGGCCCTTCTGCTCACCTCTAAACTTCTTAGAAAATACTTGCAATTCATTCACTTCTCTCCATTCCTTCTGGAAGTACACTTGTAAAGGCCTTTACAACTTCTGTCTGAGCCCTCTAATGTGTCTTGGCTTGCTTTCCTCTAGTCAACCCATTCTCCATAAATGCCAGAGCTATTTTAATGAACTATAATTTTTATTATATTATTTCATGCTCTAAACATTTCAATGGTTCTTTTTTTT